CCCCCCCCTGGTCCCATTTTCAGGAGAGTGCGCCCCCCGCCGGTGCTCCGACTAGAGCCAAGATTGTTGCAGTGGGAGACTCTCTTCCGCATGATATCCTCGGGGCGCTTCGGGCACAACTGTCTTCCGTTTTCGTGGCAGGAGGGGTGCATTTCGACGAGTTGGGGGTGGAGCAGGGGGGTGCGGGTGTTCCTAGCGACGAGGCGTATTCGGCGGCGTTTTCAAAGCATTTGGAAGGGGAGGGCACGCCAACGCACGTCATGCCGGCCTTTCGGTGGTGACATGAAAAAACACCGTACAATACACGATGTCGGTGTTAGAGTAGGAGCTACGCCCAGCTGCCCTTGATAAATGCAGCCGCCCCTGATTGGAAGGTAAATTCTGGGCCTGTACTGTTAACGTAGCGGAGGGCAGTCAGGGTTTACTGTTCATGTTTGTGTGTGTAATGTAATGGTTTGAGTGCTACACGCGCGGTTGACATTGTCTCTCGTGGAAGTGGGAACAACAAATTTAAATTTTTTCCTATAAAGGGTGGATGGTTTCTTGCTATCCTTACCGTATCACCATTGAGGGAGGTATCGAAAGTAGAGTTTGCTGCTGGTCGTGGCGGTATCCCTTTGGAGGACACGACGGCGACTGCAGCATTCTGCGTTGTACGGGCAAATAGGGGTGACTCCTTTCTCAAGAATCAAGTATGGCTACAACAATCGCAGCAACCTTGTAAACTACTTCATAAGTACATGCAGAACAGGACGCTTTCGTCGCAGATATTATCCATTTAGACACAGAGTAATTTTGGGATCACACCAGAGACACCAATTTATCCACGAACCGTTCTTGTACTCCCGTGGCACAATATGCCACTTCAATCTCTATTCATACAGCAGAACTTCCAATTAATACAAAGCTACAAAATAAAAAGGGGGCACATGGGGCAAGACGGTACGCACGGTTGACACATACAGGTGCCAACAATTCCTTTTTGCTCAACGACAGCACCGTCACATCAGATGCACATGGTGAACGCACGTGCAAATTAATACCATCGCTTTTCTACCAGCGGCCAAGGGGTGTCTCATGTGTAGCCTTACACCCCTAAACTGACGACCCCAGAAGGTGGTGGCAGTTGAGAAATGGCCCTCATGTACATTTCGGGTCGGCGGCAAGCGTACAATGTATGGGGGACAAACGCAGTACGGTCAAATCGTTCGCTCTCCGATGCCGTCATGTCATCATCCCGCTGCTGCTGCTGCTGCTGCTGCTGCTGCTGTACCACCAATCATCCCATCCTGGCTCCGAAGAGTGCTCCAGCTATAAATCCAGAGCCCGTGGGCAGGTTGTACGACAGCACCTGCGGTACGGTAACAGCAGCAAGGCAGCGCACGTCATCGAGCATCGGTAGAAACATGCGTGTTCACTTGATTGTTGAGCAGAAACCGCGGCCACGAGCGAAGAAACCAAACCAGAAACATACCGATACATAATAGTGTACAGGGGACGGGCAGGGGGGCTTGGTAGAACACAAGAAACCAAAACAGGTGCAGAACCTCGATCGACACGACGCAAGTCTGCAAGTGTACGGAGCAGGTTCAGAACTATCTGGAAGCCATTTTTCTGGGTTTTCTGCAGAAAACGATGTTCGCGTCTAGACGCGTCAATGAATGTCTCCCTATGTTGCGGAAAGACTTCAGCTGCTGTCCCGTTGCCACGCTATTCGAGACAAAGCACTTTTGCTTTCGCGATCTTACGTGTCGATCAGTATTCAAGCCTTCGACGCGAATTCTACGTGTTGTCAATATTCACCTTCATGGTGCGGTTCCACAACTCTTGTATATCATCGGTGTCGACCTTGCCGTTTTTGTCGAGGTCCAACGAGTTCATTACCTCGTCCTCGATCTTCGTGTAGTCAAGCTCGATGTACCCCATGTAGCTCAGCAACTTAGCCATGGATCAGATTTGGTTGCAGCGGGAGCAGAGAGGTTGCAGGTAGGGGGGGGGGGGCGTACTCTTATGTTTTGCATGCCTTAGCGGTTAGACCATTGACCACGCGTCCTCGAGAGGACGGAGCAATGTTCCACCGATCACCGATGGCCAATCGTTCCTTTCTATTTTGCCAAAGGTGGCTCCAAAATGTCTTCCATAGTCTATCCTAACGATATCCCTTCCTGCCTTTTCAACCCACCTCCTATGCCCCAGTACAGCTACCATCCTTTGCTCTCTATTCCATGCCTCAAACATCTCCCTGTACGTCCAATCTATTTTTCCACGGGCAGGTTTAGTACAGTACAATACTGCCAGTATTTTCAGTATTGCAGTACCTTTGGCCATAATATACTGTACTGCACGCTTTAGTACAGCTTTCGATACTGGAATAAAAATACTGCACGCTTTAGTACAGCTTTCGATACTGGAATAAAAATACTGCACTCTCCAGTACAGCTCTCGATACTGGAATATACTGTACTGGCAGCACGGCTCTCGGTACTGTACTGTACTGGACGCTTTAGTACAGCTTTCAATACTGGAATAAAAATACTGCACTCTCCAGTACAGCTCTCGATACTGGAATATACTGTACTGGCAGTACGGCTCTCGGTACTGTACTGTACTGCACGCTTTAGTACAGCTTTCAATACTGGAATATCCAGTACTTCCCAGTATTTACTGGCAGTATCAACCCGAAATCCACCGAAGGGCGTTTTGGTGACGTCATCTTTTGGCAGAAATGCAGGACGCTCTTGTCCAATTGGTCTAGTCCTACAGTCCCACCCTGCTGCAAGCGGCGAGTAAGCGACTACTGCTGTGCGCAGTTTACTGCTGAACTGGTACTACTGGTGCTCGAGCAGTGGCCCGCAGCC